GGAAACCAGTATCTGGGTGGATCATGAAGATTCACACATTTACAACCAATAGTGCACGCTGTAGTTGCCAAAGTCTTTGAAGTTTTCAGAATCTTTCATAATAGTCATCTTATATGAAACACAACTCTGTGGTTCTGGTGTCTGAAATTCATAGTTGAGTAAACCAGCTTTAGAAAAAAGGTGTGACTCTTCAAGAACTTATGGTGACAATTTGCTGTATTGGCCCACTAAAACCATTTCAGAAAGAATACATGATGCATGGGTTCTAGTTTTTTTTTTAATGACAGTTAATGATAGTGAAATAATATTAACATGGATATGATAGATTAATCAACATAAGATATAGGCCTGGAGCAACTACTAGTTCAGTGTTAGATGGAACTTTCTAAAGCCAATTGACCAATCAGGGCCTTGCACATGCTAGGCAGGCACTCTACCATTGAGCTACATATCTAACCCCTTGTTCCTTCTAAAGGGACACATTTGATCAAATCTGAAATTGCTGATTCCTGCTACAGGAACCACCTGATGCACCAATGGACCTTGGAAGCAAAGTGAATCATAACATCTTGTCTTAACAGAACCACTGTCTTTTGGTCCTAGCAATGCTAAAGCAGTCAAATGTCTTCTGTACAGGCTAAAGGTATCATTTTCAGAGAAAGGTGATCTGCACAGTTTGACCTTGAAATTACGGACCAATTGGAAATAGATATTGCTGCACATTCTCCGGGACATCAATCATAGTCAGTGCCTATGTAGTGTGCCAAGTACTGAAAGCTGAATCAATCTCCTCATCATCTGTCATAAATTCAGTAATGCTGTATTAACAGCACATTTAGAAAGCACAATATCTAGCCATCCTGTTAGCAACTGTATTTCAGAAACTTCTAGCATGAAACTAAGAAGTGACAGATGATATTGGTATCCTTATATCTGAAAATACAGTGCACATTTCAGGGCATAGTAAATTTAGTGTCCTTCCCCGTAGTTCTGTGGTTTCATATAATTGCTCAATTGTGCCTGGGCCCTTGCACAAAATTTTCCTTCTTTCTAGTATGAGTCCTTCTCCTTATTCAGCTCCTTCATCAGGCTAATTGGCCAAGCTTTTAGGACTAAGCTTAAAAATAATTTCCTCAAGAATTACACTCTATATTTTATCTTCATCAAACATATGCAGTGACTCGACAGCTCTCAGCACATGGGAGTTCTCAACTCACGATTGTTGCTTGTTAAATAAATGAAAAGTTAAGTGCACTTCTATCTTTTCCTCAAGGCAAGCTGGTTTTACCTGTGTCAAGTAAATTTTCCTTTAGATTTGAATGACTTATATATCTGTTTTCTGAAGGTTAAGATTTTATTTTTTTATGATAGGGATTGATTCTTGTTCAATTCTTTATCCCAAGACCTGTGTGGCACCCAACACCTGTGGAATAAATGTTGGGTTCACTGTTCTAGGTCCATAGGAGTCTGAAATGCTTTGGCTGATCCTATTGAGCTCTTGTCTTTCCATGCTCTGTGTTAGCATTGTTTTTCGGTTTCACTTGGAAGAAGGTGGAAAGAAAGATCATTCGGATGAAACAGGGATTTTATGAAACATTTTTTGAAGGAAATTAATACCAGAGATCCTAGATGTGTAATGTTTGAGAATAAATATACCCTACGCCAGGTCCAGTCTATTTGCCCCTTGTCTTAGAATCAGTAAAAGATGAATAGAAAATACTTCATGGTTGAAATAAGAGAGGCTCTGATAGTGAAAAATGGCAATGGATTGGGGAGAGTGTGGACCTCGTCTTACTTCTGTTTCTCATTGAGAATGTTTCTTTAACAGTAAAATTAACCAAGGGAGCTCAAAGAACCACTTTCTCCAACAGCCAACATCCCCTGTCGTCTGTTAAACGATAATCACTTTGGTTCCCCCTCCAACTTTCCCTGACTTTACAATATATTTTCTAATTCACATTTAAAACATTTTTATCTCAACTGTGATTATATAAGGAATTCATGATAAGCAAAACCATATTGCAGGAAATACCTTTTCTTGCTTTTTTTTCTTCTCCCTCTGTCTTTTTGTTAATGCATAGTTTCCATGTATTCTGCCCTTTCCCTCCTTCACACGCCCCTTTCTTTCTTTCTTTCTTTCTTTTTTTTTTGTATCCCCTTTACTCTCTTTGTTTTTCAAGGGAAATTGCACTGGGGTAGTTTTGATTCACTTCCAGGTGATTACCAAAATTTTATGTTGTTAGAATGACTTGATACTTAAAATGCCAATTCTTTATAATTAAGAAAGAGTGAACTGAAATTGATAGCTTTGGGTTTTGAAAGGGATTATATTTCATTGGTGCTTCCAGTAGGGGGAGGAGGGAATCCAGCATTTCAGTGGTCCCATGATGGAAATGAAGAACCTGAGATAGACATATTGGACCAAGGCTCTTGAATGGGGCCAGCTCTCCTGATCCTAAGAATCAGAGATCCTGACATCTTGTTCTTTGCTTTGTCTACTCGGCCTTTGCTGCATCTGTAATTCTCTCTGAAATATGCAAAGTGGTTGTTTCCTCTGTATTTTCCTCCTAGAGTCTTTTATTTTGTTCTCCTTATTCAGCGGTGCCAACCTTTTCATTGATTTATGAAGGACAATTGCAGCCAAACTCCAAGGAAATAAATGGTAGCATGTAGATTTCTTCTTCCAAGCTAAATAACAGTCACAGACGGATTACCCAAAGAATAATGATTTTATTTGGGAATGACAGAGCATTGTAATGGCATAACATGTGCCATAGTAAAGTATGAGTATATTCAAGAAGGTCAAGACAAAGGGAAGTTTTAATGGTGAAAGTGAGAAGTTTATGTAAGCTACTTAGATACTAAGTTCATTGGTCTTAGAGATGCGTGTGGTGGTGGAAGGGTTGGCAAGAGTTTATTGGCACAGATTCCACTGCTGGGCCAGTATTCTATGGAGAGACTCTTGTTTGAATTGTTGCAGTATTAAAGAATGTTAAAGATCAACTTTGTTACAGAAATCTGTGCATACATGTGAGTGCAAAGCACAGAGTATGTGTAGAATGAGGCATGTGCTAGGCCTTTGAAAACTCCTTGAGAAAGTCCTTATCTCAGATAGACAGACATGGGTCCTCCCCCTCATAACTTCCCTCTCTAATTTTGTCTGAGTCTGACAAGAAGGAGTTTGTCCTCATATCAACTTTCACAGTCATTTTCTCTGGTGTAGATATTCAAAGACCTGGCACTGTGGGAAGAAGCAGAGCTGTCAAGAACTCTGCTTTATTTCTATTTGATCATCCAGAAAGCCTTCGGTCATCATGAGGTCCAGCAGAAGACTGCAAATGTACAAATTGGGAAAACCATTGCCCTCCAGTTCCCAGGAGACAAATCTCTCTTCTCAGCGAGCTGCTGGGCACTGCTCCCTGCTGCCTCGCTGTTAACCCTCCTGAGTTCAGAGGCTGCCAGGCAGGCTTCAAGTGCTGGCTGCCCAGAAAGGTGCATTTGTAACTCTAAGCAGTTTGCCACCTTCCCCTCTGAGCAGGCAAAGGGAAGGGATTATTAGCATGCAAGTACAAGTTCTGACACACAAAAGAGCCACATTGGAAAAGCCCACAGCATTCCTCCTCTAGTTGTTCAAATGAGGGCAGCTAGTGTAGCAAGTTCAGCCCTAAGAAGTTTATCTGAAGTGAGTTTCCAGTCCTCTCTGTGTACTTGGAGTTAAATCCCTCACAGTTTAGAGGACTTATATGGATTCATTTTTTTCCAAATAGTTTATGCTTTAGTTTAAGATAACAGAACTATCTTATCTCTCTCACTATTTATCCATTAAAAATCCTACAAGCTTGGAAGCATTTGGAAACAGTTAAACTGCAACATATTGATTTTTTTCACCAGTGGAAACCATGATTTGGAAAAAAAAAAGTACCATCTCTGTGGTTCGACCTATGATGTCTATGTTTTTAGGAATATTAGCATCTTACTCCTAGCTTAATTTTTAGTTTTTGATGCTTTTTTTCCTCTCCACTCCAAGTGTGGAGCACACACCAGCAAAATTTTTTTAACTATATTTCTTAATTTTTTTTTTAATTTAAGCAAGGTAAAAGAATGTCAGAAGTCATTCAGTTCTAGCAATACTCCTTGACATTAGTCACTTTACTTATCCCATTCTGACTTTGATTTTTCTCCTTATCAAATTGGCCTAAGGATGTCTTGCCCTCAAGTTTTCCTGAAAAAGCAATTTAATGAGATAATGTAGATGAGGCTCCTTGAAAAGTTAAAAAAGTTTCCATAGAAACCAATATAAGCTTTATTCACATTTATTTAGTGATCTTTTAAACACATATGGTGGCCTGACGTTTATTATTTCATGATACCTCAGAATTTGTTTCCAAATGTCTCTGGCCATGGAGTGTAAAATTATTACTTATCCAAACTAACAAGCTGTTTGACAAGTTGAAATCTATGTTTAACTTGGTTGTTTTAAATTTCAGTGATTTAAATCTCAGTGGTTACTAGTTATTCAAGATAAAAAATAAGAGTGCTAGAGTAGGCACAAATAATGGAAAGTTTACCACTTTAAGGCTCATAAAGTGAGAAAAATTGAATGTAAATATTGAATTTAAAGGCTAATGATACATATTTTTTTCCATAAAATATTTTTAAGTCCAAGTATTAGATCTTAACACAAATTTACAGAATTAGCAAGTTCTCATCTAATTTATTAAATTAAAAGCAAATTTTATAAATTTGTTTAGCATTCTGATCTAAGACTTAGATACTCTAGCAGATTATTTATTTATACTAATTAAAACTGACTTGAAAGATATATTGTCATCTCAAAAAAATTATATCTCTTTTAAAGAGCAGAAACTGCCCATCTGATACTCTCTAAAGAGACGGTGGGGAAGAGTCACCTCTATGCCGCTCTCAGATCTCCATAACTCTTTCATTCTTTCTGTGGCCTTCTCCTGACTTTTTCAATCTCTCTTCTTCTTTGTCTCTAGGGAGAAGTCTCCAGTGGTGGACACCCACTGAAAAACTATCCGGAAGAAGTAAGTTTTAAGGCAGCCTTCAAAACACAGTCTGAAACAGACTGAAAACCAGTGGATAGAGTTCCCAAAGCTTGATATGGAGATAAACCCCAGTGGTCACTGAATTAGTGTATCCTGAACGCTTACTTGCACTTTCCTCACCTACCTGTAGCGCTCCTAGTCTATATATGTGCATTGATTGGTCCACAATAACAATATGACAATAAATGTCCTCAAAATAGCTTTTGTTTATCATTGGTAGATAGTTCCTGTGTAGCAGTTCAGTCATCTTGAGCATGAACCTAGTACCATCACATATTTCCATTCACAGATATTTGCTGATACCCTGATGAAGGTTTGATTGTTCATGAAAAGAAAAGAAAGACCTCATCAATGTTTTTATGGAAAGAACAATCTAACACTAAGTTGACATTCATTCCTGTGGCAAATGCTCATCCAGATGACATTTGACAAGGTGTTACACACCTTGTGTGTGTTACAACACAAAGTGCTTTCCCAACATTAAAATATGCAATAGAAGTCCCTTGAAAACCCCTTTGGATTCTTGGGTTTATTTTTGGATATATTTTTGGGTATTCTGTGTCACAGAACTTTGGACTGAATACTGAGTATTTGGGAACTCTCAGAAAAACCAGTGGATAGAGTTCCCAAAGCTTGATCTGGAGATAAATCACAGTAGTCACTGAATTAGCCAGCTGAACCTGCTGCAGGTGAAGGGGTATGGGAAGCAGTTTGGTGATGGTATTTTAGCAGCACTAACTACCTGGTTTCAATGTTACTTCTCAGTAGGCAAGACTCTGTTCCTATATAACAATTTTGCATGTGTGAGCCCACTCAAAAACCTGACTCTGCTGTGCAGTTCCTACATACATAGTTTATTTAGAATGTGTGTCAATAAACTCTCACTTGCTTCCATATATCATTTGGAGAGCAAAATTGGAATGCATAACACCCCTTCAAGTTTGTTTTTTTTTTTGTACTAGAGATTAAGCCCAGGACTGCTTAACCACTGAGCCACATACCCAGGCCCCGAGCACCCCACTTTTAAAAAATATATTTTATTTAGAGACAGGGTCTTCCTGAATTGCTTAGGACCTCACTAATTTGCTGAGGCTGGGTTTGAATGCACAATCTTCCTGCCTCAGCCTCCTCGCTGCTAGGATTACAGGCATGTGCTGCCATCCCTGGCTGTCCACTCATTAAGATTTACATACCTATTTAGAGGTGGTCGAAGCTTTGCCAAAGACCCCTGCAGAAAGAGTGACCAAAGGAGAAAAAAAGACATATCTAAATAGCTGTTTGAATTCAGGTTAGAAAAGTCAAAATATATAAGGGAAAAAAAAATAGTGGAACAACAACCCTAAATTTCAGTTTAATGAATTTGATGCAGAGATTGAGTAGAAGATGTTTAGCAACTAACACAGCAATTAATGTTGCCAGCAGGAAGGAAGACATTATTTTTGAAGTATTCATCAGTAGAACTTCCCTTTAGGATTCTGTGATTGCTAGGTTCTGCATTCCTCACTTGTTGGTAGGGTTGGAGGTGGCTGGCCTCCTCCAGAAATAGGGTGTCTAATGCCTCTTTTAATGTGTCCTGTCTGGATTTAACTCTGTGGAAGAAGAGGATCTCTAAGGCGCTGGTATAAGAAATGGGCTGCTAACTATGATGGAAATGCTACAATCAGGCTTATCCTAATTATGTAATTCTAATTCAAGAAAAGCGCCTGATTTTCTCTGAAACTACCAATGCGCAATGTGCAGTGTAAGTGTGCATGCCATATATAAGCATGAATCCTTTATTTGGCAAGAAGGTTGAGAATTTGTGCCTTCTCTTGGGATGCTTGAAGGGCATTGCTCCTCAGAGAGGCCCTCTGACTACGTCAGCATTATCTCGGGGCTTGTAAGAAATACACAACCTTGGGATTGCTGGATACTTAAAGATTTAAAAATCATCCTACCAAGATCTCTGTGGTTCATAAATACCCCAGGTGGTGAGAAGTACAGTTCTGAAGAATCCTTTCCAGTATTATTTCTGGAGATTTTTGTATATTGTGGTTATTACCAGCAGCATACCCCAGGGGCTTAGCCTGAGTCTTGGCTGACAGAATGCAGCAGTGTGAAGAAATAGGCAAACAATGGAAAAAGGAAAAATGTATTTTATATAGTTTGATGGAGATTGCTTCTTCCTCCACCAGCCCCACTGAATCAGTCACAATTTATAGAAACAAAAGCCAGGTGATACCCAGAGGTAGATTTAGTTAGTCTGTGCTAGATAGTTCCCAGTATAGGGGATCTCCACTTTAACCTCCGTGGCCTCTGCCAGGTCAGAGCATGCAGATCTGCAGCCTCCATCTGAGCATAAGGAAGTTGTGTTCAATTTCAGAAGGATCCCCAACTTCAGTTTGTTTCATAGGAAGAAGTTTTATGTAGGTATAGGTAAAAATGTGAGCCATAAAATGATATTATTTTGTTCTTTTTCTCACTTAATGCTCTTACTTTACTTTTGCCATTTTCCTTCATTTTAGTAGAATCAGGAAACAACAAACAACATTTTAAGAACGTTAGAGGCATTGATGTTAAAAGCAAGCTAGCAAACATTTGCTTTTATTTAGTACACACAAAAATTCAAATAAATCACAGTGTTTACATTTTTAAGATATTTAACATTTCTTGAAGTTTGAAGAACTCTTTGCAGATCAAAGTTTCCGTTTTTTTTTTTTTTAAATCTAGTCTTTAGTAAAGGTAGAATCATAACATACAACATTAGGCAGTTTTGTTTAGACCTAAATCAAAACTGAAGAGAAAATATATTCTCCCTTAAGAGTAAGGCTAAAAGATAAGTTTTATTCTATATTTTCTATTTGTTAATGTGTTATTTTTTCAGAATAATATTTGTGTTTTTGACCGAATAAAAATGAGGTATTTTATAATAGTCTACTTTTCTTGACCTTCAAAATATCTCTGATAGTGAAGTTACAAACTTGCATGCTCTTCACTTGCTAACTCAAAGTGGAATCATAATTTCTTAACAGAATTTTTAGCTTTTAGAATGAATAATGTTATTGCTCAGTGAGTACTATATAGACAGAGTTGAGAACAACTTAACAAATTTAAGTATGAATCTTGGTTGTTACACCTTTTGTAGAGAAGTTAATCTCTTTAAAATATCACATTTCCTAGATGAATCATTGGGAAGCAATATGGTACACTAGTTGAAAATCGCCTACGTGGTAGTGAAATGTTGTGATTTAAATATATATGCATGAAGATAAGAATTGTCACCTTAAGCAGTTAAGAATTTTTAAAGAACCCAAGAAGTTAATCATTTTTCAAACTTTTTAAAGAGCAATTTACAGTGGTCCTTACAACTTTGGGAAGCTAGTGGTGAAGGCCAGAACACCCTCAAGGTCACCGGCAAGTGGCAGCTTCACAGACTCTAAGGGTGTCAGACAGGGAGAGAAGCATTGGAGGAAGGCAAGCCTCTTTTGAATCTGTTAGCTTGATTTTGAACAAAATATCTTAGAATCATTTCTGGCCAGTTTGTATTGTTTCTCCTGTGTTGTATTCTGTGATCTCCAGCATACTGAAGTTCCAACTCTATTTTTGGTGGGGAACATATGACATTATCATCTATAATAAGTAAGTTTACTTTATTTTTATCCTTCTGAGGGATTTTTTTGTTAAAAGCTGAAGCCAATTATTATTTATTATCACAGTTTTATTCGGCTTGGTTACTGGGAAACAAGTATTTTCCCCCAAAGAAAATCAGTTTGTCATTGACAATCATTAACAATAGATTTATGTTGTTCAATAACAACTTTTAAAAGATTATAATAGTACTGTCATACAGATGCAAACTGAAGACATGTCAAAGATTTATGTAACTAATAAATCAATGAGGGAACAAGTAACATGTTCAAAGGAGAATTCAAACTGTCACATATGCAGACAAATAGGGATGCTGAAGTGAAGTTATAAATAGATGCAAAAACTGCCAAAATAGAATCATCTCAATAGGATAATAATCAATTGCACTATAAAAGAATGAAATTGAATTTCATGTAGGCAAGAATATTTGGCACTTTTATAATTGTCTATAAAATATAATTATAAAGTAGCTAAAATCAATGAAAGATCAAGAGCCTCTATAGAATTAGGTAACTGGAAGTCATGTTATAAAATGACTTTTCATTGACTACCCCTGACAGTTTTTCTTCCTTTTTCAAGTCTTTGGCAACTTTACTTTGCAATTTGCTTGGAAAGGAAAACCACCAAATGCAATGAGTTAGAATACAGGATGGAATGTGATCATAATGCATTGTCAATATAGCAAATATGTCCTGTAAATTTGAGTAGTTAATTTTGCAATGTTTCTTACAATCTACCATATTTTTCTTACTTTATTATTACTCCTCTCTTCTTTAATTAGATCCTATTATTTCAAACTATAGTTCCCCAAACTTGGTGAATTCTTTTTTCTTATAGTTTAATTGTCCTTTTGCAGTTCTTAAAAGAAGTGGGCTATAGAATCATACTTTCACAGCTTGGTTGTATGGGTTCTTTTATTAATAAATATAAAAAAGAAAGTTATTCACAAACTTTGCTAATTTAACTATGTCAATTATATGTAGGAAATTTCCTTTTCTTACAGGTACAGGACCAATTCTTCATCAGTAGAAGCAGTCTATTCAATGTATCTAGAATTGAGTGTGATTTTGTTTTGCTTTATATATACCATGATTCAGGGATCTTTGTTTTGATTTGTTTTAAGAGATTCTGTGGCTAAAGAAGTAAAATAAAAATTATTGAGTCTTTCTGAAAAGTGGAAACTAATGTATTTCCATACTTAAACATACTTATACCAAGAGTAAAGAAATACTTAGTTAATTTAGAATTTAAGTGTCCACTAGTGAAAATTTGAACAAAGAAACATTTTTTTCTTTCTAAGTATACAGAACTTCCATAGCCACATGTGACATAAATCACTGATTGCATTTAGAGAATCTAAAAATAAGCTATCCATGTGGAACAATACAGCTGAACTTTATAAAGCACTTATTCTGTTAGCAGATAGAATGATATGTTGATTCAGGGCTGGCAACTGTTTCCCATATGATCCATGTCACTGTTTCCCAACCCTCCTAGTTACTGGACTTTTGCTATACTCACAGTGAAAGTGTTTTAGAAAAAGAATGAATAGTGTTTCTTCTAAAAGCAGCCCAGAGAGTTTACTCTTGGGAATATGAAAGGGCTTATACCGAACTCAGACATAGTTTAAAGTGCCTGTAGAAAATTTTTGAATAAACTTAACAAAGAAGAATGCATCAGCTCTTGTGTATAAAATGTTCAAGATTTTACCTCCTTGACCCCATCAAAAAGAATTATATGTAGACTGTTGGGCTGAGCTTTGGACATGTCCTATTGGCACTGATAAAGCAAACAGGTGCATTATATTACTAGCTCTATTCCAGGGAAAACCAAAGTAAAACAGTTGTATCATCATCTATTAATAGTAATATTTATTCTATGTTTATGATTCTAATAACTCAACATTTTCAAGTTCTTCCTAAACTACATATTTTTCTAACTAATGTTCTATTTGTACTTTTTATAATTTACAATAAACAAAGAATAGTTTGATGCTGCTTATCTTCTCAGGAGTAAGGCCATTAAACCCAGAAACCAATCAGTACTACTGATTAATATTCTGAACTATTGTGGGGAAAAATTGACTATGTACCACATCTTGTCTTATGATAAAGGATTTTAGTATTTAATACAAAAGGTAAATAACTTATAATTTATTATTAGGCAGAATGCTTGCCTAGTGTGTATGAGACATTGTTTGACCCTAGCTCTGTAAAAAAAAAACACAACACATTATCATTATTATCATTTTAATTTGTTTGTTTATTTGTGCAGAACAGATGATTAAAAAACCTTTAAAAAACCTCTTGCATACACTAGGCAAATGCTCTAATACTGAGCTACACTGCCAGCCTCAAAATGTTTTCTTAAGATTTTCTTTTGATCACTTTAAACTTTTCTGCTTTACATGAAGAGCCTGAGTCTTGATCTTATCTTAGAACACCAAAACCATCATTTTTTGTATTTCTTTAAAATCAGAGACTGCATGTTTTTTTTTTCAAAAAAAAAAATTCAAGAATGTGATTTTCCCTCTGTTACATGTGAAATTTTGAAGTTTTACTTCTCCCATCATCTCTATAGTTGTGGAATTTAAAATCTAAGTTTTTTCAGTTTTTTTACTGCTTTTTGTATAATTCTAAGGTCAAATCAAATATGATACATTTTAAAAGATTTAAGCTAAATCATACAAACAAATATCAATTTATATTTAGTAATATATAGAAAATCTTTAATGTTTTGCAAACTTTCCCTTCAGTAGCTCGTTTAGTATTTCCCACATTCAATCACATAAAGAAGAGTGGAGACCTAGATGTGGACCAGTTGTGAAGGACTAGACATTGTCTAATCTAGTACCTTCACCCTCTTCATGTTGTCCAGAGAGGGGAAGTAACTGACCCAATCTAAACAAGATTTAAAAAAAAATGTCTCCTCATCTCTAAGGCAAGGACTTTTCCCTGAAGAGCTCATGGCTCATTGGATAATAAAGTTTCAATCCGAATAACGGATTATTTTCAAGATCCGCTGAAGCTAAAATTTATGGTGTTTTCATTTTAAAATGATCATTTTCAAAATATTAGTTTGCTTTGTCTTTTATTTTTAAAGTAAGCCTTTTTATTTTAGATCAGTTTTAGATTTGCAGAATTAATGCAGAGATAATAAAGAGATCCTGTATACCTCCTACCAGTTTCAAGTACTATTAATACCTGCTATTAGTGTGGGACTTTTGTCATAATGAACAAGCCATTATCAATACATTCTTAGTAATGAACTTCTCACTTTGTTCAGCATTCCACAAGTTTTTCTTAATGTCTTTTTTCTGTTCCAGATTCCATTCAGGATACCACACTGGATTCACTAGTTCTATCTCCTTAGGTTGTTCTCGATTGTGACCCTTTCGCAGGCTTCTCTTGTGTTTCATGACGCTAGCAATTTTGACTTTTGGCTAGTCAAATGTTTTGACTAGTACTGGTCATATATTTTGTTTTTGTCCTTCCGTTGATATTTGTTGGATATTTTTCCTCATCATCAGACTGGGATAATGTCTTTAGAAAGAACATAGATGTAAAATTCTGTTACTCAGTCCCTGTTTTGTGGGAGGTACTATAATAGATGGAGGAAATGCATAGGGGAAATATTTACCCATGCCTTCAAGGACCTTCTAGGCTACTATGGAGACAGTGGGTTACTGAAAGTATGATTGCTATAGACTCATTGTTATATGAGTACCTTAAACACTTGAAGGAATGGAGGAGCATCCTGGCTTTGGAGAATTGGAAAGCCTTCCAACAGAGGTGACCCTGGAGCCTTGGAGGAAGAGTGTTAATGTTGGAGAGAGATAAGGAACTGCAGTGTAAAACACCCTGTTATATTGTGCGATATGACAAAATTGATGCTACCCGTTAACTACAACGGGGTGGTGGGTGTGGGTTGACGATCAGGCTAATGGGTATGGATCCTCACAGGTCTTGAGTTAGAATCTGGGAATAATGAGAGAACCTTTGAAAGCTTATGAGCAAGCTAATGATAACATACAGGCTTCTAAAAACACTGAAGTCAGAGGGAAACATTAAGAAAAAAATTAGAGATTATAAAAATTGGCCATAAAATTTTTCACAGATGGTGATTACTACAGTCAAAATGGGAGATGGTTGGGATGGGGACATAGCTCAATGGTAGAGCATTTGTGTACCATGCCTGAGGCTCAGTTTAGTCCTCAGGACCACAAATGACAACAGTACCAAGAACAACAAAAAATCACATGGGAAATGGTGACTTTTGGATAGTGACTGAAAGGAAAGAGCAGTAAGTAAGGATACAGGGAACATTTTTACAAAAATCATGAATAGAATCTGGATATAGTGGTGTGCACTTTTATTTCCAGCAGCTTGGGTGGTTGAGGCAGGAGGATCACTTGAGGAAGGAGACAATGAAGGAATACTGAAGGGCAAAGTTGAGTGAAGTGTTCCCTAAGTCCTACTAATCTGTTTTCTGATGAAAAGAAATTGAAATGATGTTTGAAAAGAGGCACATTTTATGCAATTTTGTATTCCATAAAATTCATATTTCCAAGAATGAGTGTCAACATTGCTATAGAAATATTAACAGGAAAATAGTCTAGATATTTCTTCTTGTTAAGATTGTAAATCTTATTAAAAGGAAAATGTAAACAAAGGTTGTTTTGTGACTCATATCTATGACATGAAAACAAATTTAAACTTCCAGCTCTTCTCTATCACGGAGGAGTGCTTCTTAGGGTTTTTGAACATGCAGTTTATAAAAGCAGAGTTGTTCACCCATACTGGTGCTCCTGATATCAGTCTAGAGTCTCACCTAAAATAATTTGTTTTCTTGCAGGATGAATCTTTAAAGCAACTACAGGTACTTCATCAACCATGGCTCTTGCCAAGTGACACAGAAAGTGAAGGCGTCGAGGCAGAACAAGACAAACGTGAGTAGACACTGCTGTTTATTGACAAACTTCATTTACCAAGAAGAAAGTCACAATAAAGGTACTTAATTTTCATAGCATTAAACAACTTCTGCAAAAAAAATGTGAAACTTGATTATAGAGAACATTTTAAAATAAACTACACTTCAGGCCCATAAGTTTGATTTAGTGACATCCTAATTATGATATAAAGGTCTACAAACTAACCTTCAAAAAAAATTATTCTTCTTGAAGACCAGCAAGAAATGCTCTGTTAAAATGTGAATCTTCTATCAATATTGTAGAATTATATCAGTGACAACTTGTTATTTAAGGAGCTTAAAGAATGTTAGGATCCATTTATTATTTATACAAAATTACCTTGGTTGGTTAAATGAATAAATTTATATTAAATTCATAATTACAAATTTATGAATATATAAATATATATAAACTAAGTCCATAAGATAAATTATCATAGTTTTTTTTGTGTGTGATACCAGAGAATGAATCCAGAGGTGCTTAAACACTGAGCTACATCCCTAGCCCTTTATATTTTTTTAAATTTGAAACAAAGGAGTCTCACTAAGTTGTTGAGGTTGGCTTCAAACTTGTGAACCTCCAGCTTTAGCCTCCTGAATCACTGAGATTACAGGCATGTACCACTATGCCTGGTATAATATATAATTTAAGACAAATAGCATATATGATTCTTGATTTAAGTTTCTGGATTATTATAGCAAGACAAGGATCCCTATACTGTGGCATGTCATGCTCTGCAGGGGATTAGTAATAGACATCTGGGTTCAGACATGTTGTTGAGAGGTTTGTGTTTGGATTATATAGAAATAGCACAAACTTTTAAAAAGTAGCATATATAAAAAATTAGAACCAATTATAGGTTACAGAGGGAAATAACTATGTTTCAGGTATATGATATTGGCCCTCATCATAGCCAGTGTGAAGTTAATTAATAACTCTCCTGAGCCACAACAGCTAGAGATAGATAATATGATATACAAGTAACATCAGGATTCCATACCCTGGGGTCCTACCAGGAAATCACTCTCACAGGCTTAAAGGCATTAAGGACACCATATTCCACTTCCATAGCCATAGGTGTATGTGAACAAGGGAGCACAGGGAGGAGAGGGGCAAAGTGACAGGATGCTTAGATTTGAGGAGGCAGAGGGCCCCTGTGACACTCAGCTGTGTCCTTAGAAATATGGTGAAAACCATGATGACATTTTATAGATTCTACTGGCGGGGGGAAAAAAACACCTTCAATATACAACAGATTTTTGAAAACTCTGAAAGTGGATTTCACTTTAAACAAGTAGAAAAGTAAGAAGAATACATTGGAAGGTCTAAAGCAAGAAATTCTAAGAAAAATGGTCTAGAATCAAATGGTTTGTGGTACAAAGAAGAGAATCTACAAATCTGCAAAAAATTAATAATGGTCCAAAACTTTTATGAAAAAAAAACCAAACTCAAACACATATGCAATCCCCACATACACGCACCATCTTGCATATATTTAAATATACAAAGCTCTTACTCTAGAATTTTTGTTCAGTAATTTTCACTAAATTCTTTTGAGGCTTTTTATAAATGTTGCATTAAAAAAAATTAAAAAATACCATTTAGGCATCTGTATTTCTATTGTCTAAACACTAAATATATATACATACACACACACACACACACACTAAATACACACACACATACACTATCTTAATTATATATGTGCTGTATCTAATTAACTAGAACTTAATATAGAAAAATATTTGTCAAGCCAGGCATGATGGTATATACCTGTAATCCCAGTGGCTCGGGAGGCTGAGGCAGGGAGATTACAAGTTCAAAGTCAGCCTCAGGAAAAGTGAGACCCTATCTCTAAATAAAATACAAAATAGGGCTGGGGATGTGGCTCAGTGGTTGAGTGCCCCTGAATTCCTTTGCTGGGCCTCTCTGTAGCCCCCACCAAAAAAAAAAAAAAGAATTTATCAGAATAGTATATTCTATCCAGTTCCAGATTTCAATTTATTTCCATTATTCCAAATCCATGTGTCTACAATAAGCATTAACCCCAGAAAACAGCCTAATAATGTAAAAGATACAAAAATACTCAGAACTTTCTTCAGTCTTTGCCATCTAATACATCCTGCCTTTCTGCATATCTTCATGAGATTTTGAGAATAAATGTCATTTTCTCCTCTTCCACTAGGTGCCGATTATTTCAGAGAGTCCATTTGTTTTCTTGATCTTAAAGGGATTCATAATAAACCCTCAATAAATATCAGTTAAATCAATCAATGAGTGAGTAAATAAATGAGTTAAAAAATGAATAGAGGGCTGGGGATGTGGCTCAAGCAGTAGTGCACTCACTTGGCATGCGCGGGGCCCTGGGTTCGATCCCCAGCACCACATAAAAATAAAATAAAAAGATGTTGTGTCCACTGAGAACTAAAAAATAAATATTAAAAAACTCTCTCTCTCTCTCTCTCTCTCTCTCTCTCTCTCT